GTAACCTTAGCTGGGAGTGTAGACTGGATATATTGGGTCTTATTTCCCTTAAGCGGTCTTCCTTTCTCTAAAGCATTTAGCCTGTTTTGTGAGCCTTTGTCTATTTAGTCTCAGATCATATGAGCGAGACTAATGTCCCTAGACATTTGATTTACATGATTCTTTCTTGTCTTCTTAATGACATTTTGTTTTCGTCCTGTATTATCTTCTTGATGTCATCCCACAACTCTTCTGGTCTTTAGTCATTAGTGTCTAATATATCAGATCTAGTCTTCATCAGATGATCTCTAAATTCAGGTGGAGTAAGTTCAAGATCATAATTTGGCTTTCATAGCATTGTTTTAATTTTCTTCAGCTTCAGCCTCAACTTGCAGATGAGCAATTGACGGTCTGTTTCACAGTCTGCCCCTGGCCTTATTTTGGCTGATGATACGTAACTTTCCACAGATGTAGTCAATTTAATTTCTGTGTATTCCATCTGCTAAAGTCCACGTGTATAGTCGTCTTTTATGTTGTTTAAAAAAGGTATTTGCAATGAAGAAGTCACTGGTTTTGCAAAATTCTTGCTAAAAAAAAAAGGAGAATAGTTTGTCTCGCCTCAGGCTGTTTTAGGAAGCTCAGCTGAAACCTATTAACAATGGCGTACCCTGCTGGTAGCTTTCAGCATCAAGGCAACAGGCAAATCACCACCTTGTGAATAAGTGACCAGTGAGAGTATTGTGATTATTTAAACCTGGAAATCTAGCCAGGGGGTTGGTCTGTTTTTGCCATCCTGCTGGGTATATCATGAGCCATCTCAGAAGCAGGAAGAAGGAATGTCAGTACCATCCAGAAAGATGAGACAGGACTAGAGTTTATCTGTGGGAAACTGAGAGCCCTGAATGCTGAACCCCTCTGATTCAGGAGCCAGAAAGCAGTGATACTAGAGCAGAAAAGCAGCAGGACCAAGAGGCAGAGGCAGAGCCAGAGCCTGAGGCAGAGTGTTGGGCTTCCTAACAAACAGGCAAGTACAACTGAGAGCCTTTGGGCAGGAGGCTCACTTATGGAATAGGGTACCTCTAGACATTAGGAGCTCTGGTAGCGTAGTGGTTACGAATCAGGCTGCAAAACTCAAGGTCAGCATTTCGAAACTACCAGATGTTCAGCGGGAGAAAGAGGAGGCTTTCTGCTCCCGTAAAGATTTACGGCTTTGGGAACCCTGTACAGGGTCGCTATAAGTCAGAACAGCAACCACAACACTTATCAAGAATAACAGCAGTCTCCAACTCAAAGTCCAATGTCCTGATAGTACCCGTCAACATTGGTGGAACAGGAGGAGGTAAATATATTACATTTGATTCTTGTTCTTATTTTATAAAAGTCTTCAGCATATATTAATTACCTCATTAAGAATATCTTGAATACTTGAATTGTTGCTGCTAAGTGCCATTGAGTCACTTCTGAATCATAGTGACCCTCTGTACGGTTTCTGAGGCTGTAAATCTTTGGGGGAACAGAATTCCTTATCTTTTCTGCACAAATATTTGTATATTTAAGAATGTTGTTGTTGTTATGTGCCATGGAGTCGGTTCCAACTCATAGCGGCCCTGTACAGGGTTTTCGAGGCTGTAAATCTTTACGGGAGCAGAAAGCCTCATCTTTCTCCCGCGGAACAGCTGGTAGTTTTGAACTGCTGACC